AACTGTGAAGTTGTTCCAGAATGCTGGTGTCAGCTTTATCCCACTGTTCTTCGGCTCTGAATATTACCTTTGGAAAGCGACGTGTCTGCTGACTCAGACACAGTTACACTAGGTGTCATCACCGCTCACCATATCTGCTCTTTTCAGCTCACCTTTTCCTTTTCTCTACATCTACCTCACTGTTCTCTCCACTTTTGTGATACTTTTTGATTAAAATTGTATTTTTGATTCATCGCCCTCACATGGCAGAAGTTTTAAACATCTCCAAGGACCATTTTGTTTTGTTTTTCTCATTACTTCCAAACCATTTGTGATATTCCAGATTTGATTGGGGTGGTCCAGCATTAGTCTGGGTCGAATAGGGCCACCCTGTCCCTTATGTGGACATCGCCCTAGAGTGAGCTGTCCGCTGGTCCCTGCTGACCATTCCTCCACTCCAATGCCTCAGACTGGCTTTTATGTCATTAACGAGCAGGAAGTCTGGACACTCATTAGGGAGGAATCAGCAAGGGCTTGAGCGTTTAGAACGTTTAGAAGTTTTTAATTGCTTTAAGAGTAACACGAGAGTTTAGCTCCTGGATCTTCAACATCATTAGATGTTGTTTTTCACTTCTTTTTCCATGAATCATTCAAGGCAGTTTAAATTTCAGTTTGAGTAACCACTGTACTTGCTGACTGGGATTACAGTCTTGAGATTGCTATAAGAGTCCTTCTATAATTGTGATGGCAGATGCTGTCGGTCACTTTTAGATGTCAAAACAATCAGGGCTATCATCGTTAACTAAAACTAAAATAAATGTTAACTGAAATACAGCAAGATTTTACATTTTATACATACATATATACAGGTGCATCTCAATAAATTAGAATGTCGTGGAAAAGTTCATTTATTTCAGTAATTTTATTAATTTATTATTTTTATTATTTTGTTTACACATAGCATTGTAGTAATTTTATAAAATAATAAAATAAATAATTAAAATTTGTATATGCATAAAATAATTTTATGTGTGTATATAATTCTACATTTATTTTAACAATAAAATAATTAAATAATTCAAGATGGAAATGCCACCACAATTGTAGAGTGACACTTACATCATTTTTCTATTTTTTCAAATGTCAAATGTTTCATTAAATTGCAAGCAAATGCTCATAGCAGCGTTCACACCAGGTCGCACATTCATCATCTGTCATTAAAAAGTGCATGCGACACTGTGTGCAAATGATTTTGTACCGAATAAATTAACAGATGTCAGCCGTGCCGAAAAGGCTATCCACCCCCCGTCTATAACCCCTCCGTCTATCACATTATTGGGAGCCCGGAGGGGCCGTACGCTAAGTTTGGCAGTTATGCAAATAGCAGTGTACTCTCCTGTTTTCCATAGTCATTACTTTTCTTTTATATCGCTTTCACCCACTCATTTCCTTTGTTAAATCGGTCCTCACTGAGAACATTGGGTTGTAAACCGGATTCTTGTCAAAAGCGGCTGGTCCCCTAAAAGTAACAAGCCCACTGAATTAAACGAGAGAGGTGGTTATTTAGTTGTCGTGGTGTGCTGAGGTAATTACAGTGGTTGAAAATGAAGAAAAAGAGGGAAAATGTAACCAAAAGGATATTGAGAAGTATCCCCCATTTTGTGCTATGCTTAACACAAACATACTTGCATCCTCTTGCAAACAGGCACAACCGTTTCAACACTCCTGTGTGTTGAGCAAGCTAGCGGACTGGAGGTAAACAACCTCATTAGCAGAGTTGTTATTACAGCTGATCAGCACAATTTGCGACTCACAGATAGCGCGGCTCCTCGTGGGGAAATTAGGAAGACTCTGGGCGGGTGCCTGGGCTGATACTGTTGTTCATTTGACTGTGCATTCATGTGTGTATTTGCTGTAAGGGCGATCAACAATAATTAGCCCTAGCCCTATGGAATAGCAATGCTGGGGGAGATGCTAACACAAACCTGTTGTCATTTTTAGAGCCTCTGGTACTTTGGTTCTTTATTTGCATTGAAGAACTTTTAACATCCATGGAATCTCTCCATTGCACATAAGGTTCTTTATAGTGGAAAAGGGTTCTTCACACTGAGAAAAAAACGTTTTTTTTAAGAACTGTTCACTTAAAGTTTCTTTGGGTAACCAAAAATGGCTCTTCAGTGGCATTGTTGTGAAAACCCCCATTTGTACACTCTTAAAAATAAAGGTTCTTTACATCTGTGGTTTGATGAAGAACCTTTATGAAACCTTTCGATTCTACAAAAAGTTATTTAGATTTTTAAAATGTTCTTCACACTAAAAAAAGTGATCTTTTAAGAACTGTTCACCCAAAGTTCTTTGGGGATCCCAAAATGGCTCTTCTATGGCCTCCTTCTGGAACCTTTATAGGCTAAGCTTTCCATTGTACAAAAGGTTCTTTATAGTGGAAAAATATTAATTAGATTAGATTATTAAAATGCTCTTCAAACTTTAAGAGTTATTCATTGAAAACCTCTTCAGGGAACCAAAAATGGTTCTTATATGGAATCACTGTGAAAACCCCCTTTTGGAAAATTAATTTTTAAGGGTGTAGATAGAACCTTTCCATTACATAAAAGATTCTTTAGGTTTTTTTTATAGACATTATTCACACTAAGATAAAATATAAAGAACTGTTTACTAAAATATTCCAAAAGAGGAACCAAAATGGTTCTTCTGTGGCATCACTGCAAAAAACCCTTTTGAAGCCTTAATTGCTAAGACTGTAGATGAGCTGATATATGTTAAGTGACCTAATAATGTAATGCGATTTGGACTGGTGGGTGATCTGGATGCTGGGTGAACACTCTGAGCCACGCTGTCCCCTAGTGGTGAGATTTGCTCTTTGCAGTCGATCCTCTACAAAGAAGCCTAACTTCTAAGTTTTAATGCTCAAGAGATATTAAGTGAAGCTTTTCTTTGCAGGCCAAAAACCGTTTCTACATACTGGAAACATTACAAGGTTGAGGCTTGAGATTTCTGGGCTTTATCTTGTCCCTGGAACCTTTCAGAGAACTTTGGAAATATATGGTTGTCAGGACTTCCCTGAATAGGTCGATGGGAACGGAAATATCAAAAGCGCTAGACTCGGCTGAACTTTACAAATATCAGTGTGTCACAGTACGCCAGGAAATCTCCCCCTGCAAACTCGGCTTGACGGCTGCGGAGCTCTATTGGAGACGGTAAATGCCAGAAAGCTGGAGTACCCCATGTTGAGGGTTACGGCAGTGATCAGAGCTGAGTAAACGCTTGGTGACCTGTTGACCAATGGCAAAAATATGACTGATGAAGTACAGACTTGAGATCTCCATCGTATGAAATATAAATATGGACTTTACTGTTTCTCTTCTTTTTAATTTTCCCAAAATATCAAAAAACATACAGTCCTTGCAGACAACAAGCTCATTATTTTTGTTAGTAAACTCATTATTAGTTTTTCTGAAGCGATAGTGAGAACTAGATAGTGACAGAAAATTGCTTTGCATTGAAATGGATAATTCAACCAAGGAACTTCATGCATACAGTTGAGAGAACTCAATAATGTATAATAATTTTCATAAATGGTTCTTTGCTCTGTTATTCTGGTGCCTAAAGCAATAAGAGAAAACAGACACAATACAAGCGAACCTGTTGTCTTGGAAACATACTGGAAAAATACAACAATAAATCAACAAGACAGAAAGGTGTCTAAAACACATTATAGTACTATTGTACTATACTATATTTATACAATATTATAGCACTATTAGAGTTTTTATTAATATTGTGAATTAGCTTTAATTTGTATATTTACAGTTTTCATTTACATTTTTGTTTTATTCATATTATTATATTGTTTTGTATTTTTTTAATATATTTTATATAGCTTTATTTTACTTTTAGTCATTTTAGTACTTCAACTTATTTTAGTTAGTCATTAGTTATTTTAGCATTTCTTTTTTAATAGGCCTATTTATATTTTATTTAATTTTAAGTCAGTGTTCACAGGTTTTTTTTTGTTTTTTTTTTGCCTTTTCTGGTTTTGTTCCCCAACACTTTATTACCTTTGTTATGTTAAAAATATGAGCAACTTATAAGCTTTCTTATGAAAACAATATAGGCTCTCTCATGTTGAAAATATAATAATACAGCACAAATACAAACGTATTGTTTGTATTATTGCAACAAATAATTCTTATGGGGTAGTTATATCAGTGTGCGGACAATACTTTTGTATTTTTGTTATAGTTACTATAGTTTGACTTTTTTGTCTTGCACCTGAGCCCTGTGTGGGTTTGTGGGATGTGCGCAACTTTTTTATACTTTGAAAATATAATAATAAGCAGCTGAGGATTTATATACCACAGAGAAATCTTTAGAATAAAATAGTAAATAATAGTAGCCCTTTAAAATAAGATTTGATTTGTTTATTAACAATCAACAGTTTTTACAGCATTTATTAGCATAAAATATATCTAGATTGATGGTAATTTAAATATACTGTGTTGTTTATTAATTTATGTTAATTAATAATGCATTAATGTTAGGGTTAGAGTTGTAATCCTGACAGCAGTTCTGTGTTCTTCCAGCAGGGGGCTCTGATGTTACGACCATACAGTAGGTTAGTGAAAGGCTCCCCGTGTTTGAGTCGTTAAGTAAGGGCCTGTATTGTACAATTACGTTGTGCTCCCTGTAGCCCACATTAAACTCCCCGTAACATAAGCTCTGAGTGCGGCTAAACAGGCATTAGGCAGCGAGACTCCATGCCTGGAATGGATGGCATGTCTAATACAATGTGCTTAGAATACACACGTAAATGTCAGGTGCTGTACTGCAGTCCTTGGTTTCCATGTAATCAAACCCACCCAGTTTCCATCTTGGCACTTGTTAGCATTCATGCCGAAACATAAAGCATGATTTATTTATCGTCCCAACTGGTAAGCTAATACCATGCGTGTCATGAGCTCTGTGTCAATGCGTTTTGTCTCTTTGTCTGTCTTTTATAGTAAAACGGAGGTGGCGACCGTTGAGACGGAGCTCCTGAGGGACTATCGCTTTGGACAACAGCAGCTGATTGAAATATGGGGCCATGCTTGCGCTATTGCCATCACAAAGGTTTGTCCGACAAGTGAACACGAATTACACTATTGTGAAGTGGTAGTTAACATATCTTAATCCTGAATCTAATCCTGTATTTACTGTACACAAGCATCGCTGTGATTTACACAACTCTCTGCGTTACCCGCTCCCAGCGTCTTTTGGCATTTGCCGAACTTCAACCAATCCTCTAAAGAGGCGAGGCCCTGCTGCATTTGATGATGAAAACAGCGGGAAATCTTTGATCTCGCTGTTTCTGTATAGAGGGTTTGACCGAATCTGCTGCTTTGGGGGTTTTCTCATGAAAAGGGGTTAAAGAATGATCCAGGATAGCAATCTGGCACTTTCGCTTCAAAACAGACAACAACGAAAAAAGATTTTGTATCTGTCTGTTAGACATAAAGTCGTAAATGTCAGATATGAAGTCACAATTACAAGACAAATTCGCAATTATGAAGAACAAAATGATGTTGTGAGATTAAAAGTTGCAGTTACGTAATATAATGACAATTTTTGAGATATAAATGTGCAATTGTGAGAAATAGTCACAATTACAAGAAATATTGCAATTATAAGTGACAAAACATTGTAATTATGCGAAATAGTTGCAGTATTGAGTAAAAAGTTGCAATTGTGAAATATTAATTCACATTGTGAGAGACTGTATAAAGCCAAAATCTTTAAGACATAAATTTGCAGTTACGAGAAATAGTCGCAATTATCCACCTTTTTCTTGCCGTAAAAATGGGCGCGGACATTTGTAAATTCTATGGGTCTAGCTTCCGGTCTCATCCGTGTCCAGCTATTTTTATCTGTACAGAACCGCTCCATTTGCTGCTTGATATTGAAAATTGGTGTGTCTTACCATATTATTTTAGTGTATTATCTTAATTATAAACACACTGGTTTGTAGTGCAAACAGTTTTACCGTTTACTGCACGTTGTTATTCTTCTCGTTATTTCCCTCTAGCGGCTAATGAACCGGAAGTCTCACCCATAGGATTACTTCCACGTTGAAGAAAAGGGGGATAGGAAATGTCACAATTAGGAGTTACAAAAAGTCGTAATTATAATAAATAGTTGCAAATCTATGAAAAAGCCTCAATTGTGAAATATTAATTCACATCGTGAGTTACTGTATAGCCACAATCTCTGAGATATAAATGTGCAATTACGAGAAATTGTCACAATTATGTCATCATGAGTTGCAAAAAGTCGTAATTATGAATTATAACAGTTGCAAATCTATAAAAAAAGCCTAAACTGTAAAATATGAAGTAACCTTGTGGGATATAAAGTTACAATTTCTAATTTATCAAAATTTGCAATTTTAAGAAATGTTGCCAAAAAGTGACGATTATGTGAAATAGTTGCAGTTCTGAGGAAAAAAGTCGTAATCGCGAAATATGAAGCCACACTGTGAGATATAGTCAGAATTTCTGAGATATAAATGTGCACTTACAAGAAATGTCGCAATTAAGTCTCAAAAAGCCAGAATTATGAGAAACGTTTTCAGTTTTGAGAACAAAGGCGCACTTGTGAAATATGAAGTCACTTTGTGAGGTGTATTCACAGTTTTTAAGATATAAATTTGTGATAATGGGAAATTGTCACAATTACAAGAAATGTAACAATTATGAGTCGCAGAAAGTAATACTTCTTAAAAAATATATTAAGTGAAATATAAAGTCACATAGAGAGATATAAAGTTGCAATTATGGGGACAAAAAAATTTGTAGAAAGCCAAAATTTTGAGAAATACAGTGTGTGTGTATATATATATATATATATATATACACACACACTTTTATTTATTTATATATTTTTAGTCTAAGGCAGAAATAGGCTTCCATACAAAAGGGTTACAAAAAAGGTGATTTAGCTTTTTTTGAGGGGTCATGTTATATCTTGCCTTGAGCATTAAAATCAGCACCAGTCGGGTTCATTCACCTCCAAATTGCACTTTGACTTCTCCTTAAAAATCCCTTGTGACAAATCCAATGCACCGTCATTGAAGGTGTTGAAAGTCTTCCGTCTGTGGCCGGGTTGCAGTCGGGCGGTCTCGGGCCTTACGTCTTAGGGCGGCCTGAGGGTTGCGATAGAGCCAGGCCAACTCAAACCAGACTACTGCGGTCACCATCCATCTGGATTCAGTCAGGCTGACAGGCAGCGCAGGGCTCCTCTTGACCTACCTGAGAGTCGGTTAAAGCCCCAAATTGTTTCCTGATTTGGCTTGTGTGAATTTTCAACCCTTGTTAAGAAGCGTTTTACAAACTGAACCTTCCGCCCCTCCAAGGCTCCCGGTCACCAGCAGCTGCTACGGTTAGCGTCAACAAAACTTCCTGTGCTGTGACCTCTGTGAGGTCACCATAAATTGCAGCTAAAGAAAACACGCTGGCCGGTAGCTCTGAGACAAGCATTACATCAGTACGCTTGTGTGTGTGTGTGTGTGTGTGTGTGTGTGAGGGGGGGCAGAACGGCTCCATTGGTCTGGTGTGTGCCCGCCATCTGCGCATGTTTGTAAGTATAGAGCACTGTGCCGAAGGGCACGGAGAAAGAATGGATACCAATGGGGTGCTGTATTGTTGTTTAAAGTCAACAAGAAATCATAATTGAGCCTATTTACTTAATGCACTTTCCTGGTATTATTGTGTATGATTCATTGCTTATTCAGGGCTCAATGTTTTTTTTCTTCTACTTGTCAGTCGGGCCAGTGTTATAGATTTTTAGGTAACACTTTATTTCGATAGTCCACTTTAGACATTCTATTAACAGTAATAAGTAACTTTGC